CCGCTTAGAGAGGGCTGAAAGCCCTATGAAGCAGTATATAAGCCTAACTATTGCTAAGCTATATAGGATTTTATAGGTAATAATTAGCACCTTGAATTGCATTCAGAAACTGACTTGCAGCCAATGTGGCTACCATAGCAGTGGTGACGCATAGGCATACCTGAAGGTATCCATCAGTGATTGCAATGCTACAGTTTGAACAAATTGTAGCTTCTGGGTACTATTCAAGGGCAGCCTCATTTACAGCGGATTGCAGTTATCCAGGCGTAAAATGATCTTCATGAGTCACTTTATGATTGAATTATTCCAATTGTGAAGAATTCTGGAGCCTCGCACTCTAGGAAAGGGGGAAAGGGGTGCATAACATGAAGGCTTGCAGAAGTTCTCCTGGCCACAGCTATGTTTTGAGTAGTAATTGCAAGTCTAGAGGGACCCCCAAATTGCACACCACGTTTGACTGGGAAAAAAAACCCTCATCCAAAACTAAGGATTGTAATATCAGCAATGGAGAATTCATCCTGTGGGAATCCATGCAGCCGTAGCCATTCAGTTGAAGTCTGTTCCACCTAATCCAGACTTGATTAGCCTCCAAATCCTGAGGGTCAATACAAGGAGTCCTCCACTTATGACCACAACTGAGCCCAAAATTATTGTTGGCAAGCAAGTGAATTGTGTCCGATTTTAGAACCTTTCTTGCCACAATTGTGACAAGTTGCTAAGCAAGTAATTTAATGGTTGTTAAATGAATCTGGCTTCCCCATTAATTTTGCATGTCAGAAGATCACAAAAAGTGATAATGTGACCCTAGGACAGTGCTTCATAAATATGTGCGGGGTGCCAAGCACCCACATTTGGATCATGTGACCATGGGGATGCTGCTAAGGTTGCAAGTGTGAAAAATGGTTATAAGTCATTTTTTTCAGTGCTGTTGTAACTATAAACAGTCACTAAATGAACTGTTGTAAGTAGAGGATTACCTGTACATTGATAGTTTTACCTGTGATCCTTAGGATTGAGATATAACTGGCACCATCTCTTCCATTTCTTATAAAATGCAAATTGGGAAAATATATTGGTTTACACAGTGTAAAAACTTCTTTAACAAACTGCAGTTTGCAGCAAGTAGTGAGTCTTGGGACCTTGTAGTAAAACTGTTGTAACGGAGTATAAGACAATATAATTTTAGTATGATTTGACACAATATAATCAGTAACCCAGAGAATTCTATTTTTTTTTTCAGTTTGAAATTGAAAAGAATATATGTGTGTGTCATGTAAACTCTGCTTTGTTTGTGGTAATTTCTTCTTGTTTTCTTTTGTTTCTAGGGGTTTTATATCTGCAGTATGGAGATGAAACTAAACAGCTAAGGATGCCCAATGAGATTACAAGCACAGACACTATTCGTGCCCTTTTTGTAAGTGCCTTTCCCCAACAACTGACAATGAAAATGTTGGAGTCTCCCAGTGTGGCAATATATATCAAGGATGAGAGCAGAAACATCTATTATGAATTAAGTGATGTGAGGTAAGTGAAACTCTATAGCATGAGATAGGTTTCTTTGTAAAGATTGGCAATATATTGGCCAGAAGTATCAAGATGCTCATAGTATCTCCAGATGATCTCTCCCCTTAAAAAACAAAAAAAGAAGTTTTGAATTGTTAAATTTTTTGAAGACCATTAAATCATGCAATATTCCAAAGACCATTAAATCATACAATATTGCAATATTTTCTCAAGGATCTCCGTCTGTCCGGAATAATTTTTGGGAGTGATATTCCTGTGGTGGATGGGTCCAGAGCTAAAATGTCTATAGGGACACCTTTGTAAACATTATCTGTACCTTTAATGCTTCGTTTTCCTCTTTCTTTTTCTATCTGATATGTTGTTGTAGAAGGAATTTATTATTTTTCCCAGAAATCTGGATTAATTATTTGCAGGAAGTTTCTGAAGTACATGTTAGGGTGTCATATGGCCTAAAGAGCTTAACAGTCAAAAAAAATGTAGCAAATTAAAATTATCCTGAACTTCATAATAACCCCAGTGATCTGGTAAGTGCTACCAGCTTCCTATTATTCTGTGGCTCCATGTTATCAACAAAATATATCCATTTATAATTATTCTCTGTAGTATGAAAGTGTTTGAGAAGCCAGTGTATATCATGTAAGTTGAAGAGATTCAAATATTTTAGGTTTAAATCAAAGACAAACTTTGAAGTTATGCCTCAGATGCTCTCACAAAATGGCTGCCATGCATGGCTTTTTGAATTCAATAATTGGCTGTGTGTGATAAAATACTGGTTTACCAAAAGGTAAACTGGTGCCTTCTGCCACACCACCTCTACCTTGAAGATGCACCAAACAGTTCTGGTCTCTTTATTGATCAGAAGGCATTTCTTTGGCAGCCATTTTTGTGTGGTTAAGGCATGTGACTAGAAGCCAAAAGACTGAGTTTTAGTCCCATCTTAGGCATGAAGCACTTGGAAGACCTGGGACCAGTGTTTTGGCAAGTGTCACAGCTGTGATTATCCTCTAACATATGAAAATCTTTAATATGAGTGGAAAGGGTATATTGCATGAGTTGAAGAGATCCAGATATTTTGGGTCTATAGCAAAGACAGACTTCGAAGTTATGCCTTCGATGCTCTCACAAAATGGCTCCCATGGATGCTTTTTGTATTCAGCTGTGCATGATAAAATACTGGTTTACCAAAAGGCAATTGGTTCTTTTGGATTGAGAGACAATGAACATTCCAGTAAGTAAAAGGATTTTTAAGCTTTATTATTAGCACTAGCAAAAAGATTTAAAAGCGTAACATAAAAAGCATGCACACCAAGCAAGATGATACCCAAATCTGTTACAAATTGCAAGGAACTCCTTAATAACAGTAAGTTACACCAAGAGTGCCGCCATTTTCCACAGTATCCAGAGATAGTTGGGTAGCCGAACTTTTTGCAGAAGCTCGTAACAAACCACAGAGAGCCCGAGGTTTTTATCAAAATCTGATACGATGACATCATGACCCCCATTATGGGCAGAAGACTGCAAGACCTGATCTTGACTGGATGGCACATGATTCTGGGATGGAAATTGAGAGTCCGAGATTTTCACAGCAAGAAAAGCTTTGAAGCTTTGTGAGGATTCATCACCCCCCCCCCCCACACACACACACATTTATTCAATAAATGAGTAAAAATACAAGGCAGGCTAGCTCAGAATGAGCTTTAAACTTCTAGATTTTTTTTAATATGGAGGAGCAATCAAAACATGCAACTGAACTCCTTGAAATAACAATGGTTTATTATTTCATTGTTACTTCAGCCAGTCACTCTTTCTCAGTCCTAGGAAGGACGCAAGGGCAAACAATTTCTGAAAATCTTGTCAAGAAAATCACAAAGTCATCTCCCACACACACTCCCCATTCGAAAGACATTTCTGTAATAAAGCAGAGTTCCTGCACTTTTCCAATTTTGTGGACCGGCGGAAGGCAGTGGAGACTGTTCCTCGCAAGTGGTCAGCAAGCATGCATGCACAGCTCTATTTGTGTGAGCGACATGCACGAACACCCACTGCTCACACAGATGCAGCAAACGTGCATTATTCACCTGCTGCTCGCGCAAGTGGGGCATGTGCATGCAATGTGCTCGCTCGCCGCTTCCATGGCCCAGTTGCAAAGAGCTCACAGCTCACTAGCAGGCCAAGGCCCAGGGATTGGGGATCCCTGCTGTGAAGGACAGACTCTTCCTAATGTCATTTTTTGTTATCATTATTATGATAATGATGCTACTGATGGGTTTTATCCTTGCTTTTCATTATTTGAATAGCTTGCCATGAAACCTTGAAAAGGCTGTGAAATATGTGAAAAATCAGCACTTTTTATAAAAGCTAGGGGAAAATGTTCAATATTAGGCTCTAGGGTTGAAAATAAACCTTCCCCAGACAGTTGTCTTCTGCACGACGAAAAAGATCCCAGCAGGCAGTCTGCCAGACGTCTGTTGCTTAGACATCTACATGTGTGAAAAAACACGAGCTGATAGAGCTTGGAGAAGTAGAATTGAATTTGTGATTTCAGATTATTGAGGGAAGAACACATTTTGAATGTTGTCGTTTGTGTGGGTGTACATGTTTATGTGCCTGCCTGTTTAGCCCAGCACGTAGGATGCAGATGTGCTACCCAAACAGGAGTGGCAAGATTCCTACCAGAAATGCCAGCCAGTTTGTTGACAAAACTGAATTCGGCAAAAAGCAACTTCTTGTGTTCCTAAGACATGCACACAATCTGCAGGTAGAAACTTAACACTTAAGAGAAGATGATAGAAATAATGTTGTCTCTTCGTTCTATTACATATTCAGTTTCATCCTTACTTTGTTGTGATTGAAAAGTTGTGATCTGCTGTCTTACAACAGCCTTGTTTACCTTGATCAACTTTAATGCTAAATGCTAGATAGTAGGAAGGAGCAAGCTTAATGTTTTCAGTTTTGGTAACTTTAAGACATGTGGAGCTCCCAAATTCCCCAGCCAGGCAGATCACCATTGGGAGAGAATTTTGATCACTAAGCATTGCAGTCATTAACTGAGTCACATAACTGGATGCGATTTTACAACTATTTTTACTGCGGTCATTGTGAATTGCAAAAAGGTAGTCCTCGACTTATGATTACAATTGAGCCACAAATTAGTTTTGCTAAGTGAATCATTTCTTGTGAATTTTACCCCATTTTACAATTGGGGCAAAGAGTTGCTAAGTGAATCACTGCATTTATCAAGTTAGTAACAAGGTTGTTAAGTGAATCTGACTTGCCCATTGACTTTGCTTTTCAGAAGGTCACAAAAGGTGATCACATGAACCCGGGACCCAGCAACCATCATAAGTATGATTCAGTTACCAAGCATCTGAATTTTCACATGACTATGGAGATACAGCAGTGGCCATGTGTGAAAAATGATCATAAGTCTGTTTTTAGTGCCATTGTAATTTTGAACAGTCACTAAGTGAACTGTTTTAAGTCAAGGACTACCTGTAGTTGGGCAGATCTGGCTTCCCCCTTTTACTTTGCTGGTCAGAAGCTGCTTGGGAAGGTTGCACATTGTGATTACATGACTGCAGGACAAAAGAACTGTCATAAATGTGAACCAGTTCCCAAGTTCCCAAATCACGATCACATAACCCCAAGAGGTAGTGCCACAGTCCTAACTTTAAAGATGGTCATAAGTCACTTTTTCAGCACCATTGTAACCTTGAACTATCATTAAACAAATGGTCATAAATTGAGAAATACCGGGGCTTTGTTGTCATACACACATACACACACACATGGTGTCATGAAAATGGTGGGTTCAAAATACCTTGTGATAAGTTTCCATTGCCCATGGGTACATATTTTTCTTGTGGTTTCTGCTCAGTGCTGACTTCATTATATCTAAACATCTAATTAACCCTACAATTCTTAACAGTTAACGTTGCTTCGTCTTTTCAGCTCTCTGACTTTCCCTGACATACTGCTTGAATTTGATGGAAGTAATGCAAGTTCTAACTAGTTACAGATTCAAAGCAATTACCAGCATCACTGTAACTTTAAAAGAAACTAGACCTTTCCAAAAATCCTTCACTGTGTCTCTCTCTTTCCCCTCCTCCATCAAAATGATAATCCCACTGATTAAGATCAGCCCAGTAAACTTATAGCTGCACCTGGAGGAGAAGAATTCAGAATAACGTGCAGATTCTCTGAGGATGGTTAGTGCTAAATGAAAGGCACCAGAACTTTAAAAGGACATAAATGTGTTTAGATTACATTCTTTGTAGCCCTTTATTGCAGAAGGAGAAAACAGCAGGATTTACTCCAGACCTCTAATCTGTAAACTCTAAGGTAGGTTTTAAAGTAAATGCAAGCCCATTTACTTTTTAATTTATGGAGTTAGATATCAGTTTTGTTAAATGAAAATTCACCTTGAGAATCAATTTCAAAACAAAACACTTTAATATTGGGCATGTTTTATAGATATTTGCAGCTTCAAGCTGTTCACGTTTATTCAGCAATAGATCTCACTTTATGCATTTGAAACAATTTGAGTTAATCAAGTAAACTCAAGTATTTTACTCCTAAGGAACTTTGACAAATATTGTTTTGATGCTTTATTTTAATATGTATCCTTACTTCAAATCAGAGGGAAGATATGACTGCCTGGGTAATAAGGTACTGATAAAAGCCAATCAAAATATTTATGAAAGGTGTTGGATTTTATACTGGTATTACTTTGCTTCTGGCATCTTTAATGAAACCAAAAACGAGTTTATCTTAGAAGAGTATTCCCTTCCAAGGGATGAATGAGCAATGTTTTTATTGTTTATATCTTGCATTGCATGGCTTCTTCATTCACCAGTTGCTGGCATGTCACTACTTGGATTATTCAGATAAAGTAAATGGTCTGACATGAAGTTCTTTCTTTCCTTATGTTTCCCTGTGTGTCTTATTTTTAATTCTAGGAATATTCAAGATAAATCTTTCCTTAAAGTTTACAACAAGGATCCTGCCCATGTCTTTAATCACATGCCTAGAGGGATCAATGGAGATGTAAGGGTAAGTGTGAGACCTTCATTTATTCAGTGGGTTCTTTGGTTGTCTCTTTCATATGAGAACCCGCTTCTGCAGGGCTATAAAAATGACACAAATGTGTGAAAATCACCAGCCTTTGTCTTTTCCCCCTCAATTATTTTGCCAAATGTGTTAAAATAAGTCACGTTAGAGAGTGTTAAAAAGAAGGTTAACCAGTTGACCAGTTAAACAATGGCTGTAAAATTGATGGAATGCTGCAGATGTTTAAGTTAAGCTTGACTGGTGAATTAAGAATTGTCCATTATGGGGTTCATCACCTTCTTTTCATAGTATCTAAGTTCAGATAACTTAATCAAGTTTAACGTAGTTTATCAATCAAATTTTCTGGGTTCACGTACACTGATTCAAACTAATCATACATCTTGGGTTGTTGCCACATGCTGAGTTATACATGGTTGGATAGCTTGTAGTTCTGTGTCTTGTGTAATTATATTGTACTTATTCTAGAAATAACTGCTCTTAGAACTAATTGTCACTTTTAATCATAAACGGTGATCATAAAACTGTTTGAAAAAAATACCTTTAGTGCTGACAGGAATAGCCAAAAGTAATCCATGGATAGATTCTTTACTAAAGAGTCAAACACTGAAAGGACATGTGCCAGACTAAATAAAAATCCTAACTGCTTAACTCACTGCAGTGAGCCACCAAGTATTGTTCACCATCTTCCTAGTAAATAATATACTACTTTGGTTTGGACCTGTTTTGTTGTGTGAATCAAGGCAGTTGTGCTGAACCAAACCATAGTTTACTAAAAGGTATGCACTGATCATTAGATACAATTACACATCATGCCAATAATGTCTATGATTATTATTGGATCTGATTACAAATTTAGAGTAACCACTAGATGGTACTAAAGAGTTAATGTTTTCTGTTTCCCTTTACTGCCACCTATAGATTATATAGATTAGTTCAGGTTGCACCTTGATAAGGAAGAACAATCAAACTTAGCACCTTCTTCCATCATTTGGTTACTGCCACCATTTTCAAACCAGGAATGCCGACCTATGTCCTTCCGAATAAGCCCAAGTTAAAAACCTTGATTTGTTTTTGGCCACCATTTCTTGTTTAAGAGAAAAGTTTAAGAGACATTTAGCAGAAATCCTGGTTTCATGCTAAAGAAACTGATAGGTAAACTGCACTTTGTTGATCTACACTTGCTGATAAAAGTAACCAGGTGGGAATGATTGAATAGCATACTGAACAGCCCACTTCTTGTTTATGAAAAACCAGAATGCTTATTTATCAAGACTGTAAATAGATTCACTGTATTTGAAGTTCAGATCCTTCCATAATACCCTACTGAGATATTTGTATTTGTATTTGTATTTATTTGTCTTGTAT